CTCTCTCTCTGCCCCTCCCCCGTTCATGCTCTGTCTCTCTCTGTCCCAAAAATAAATAAACGTTGAAAAAAAAAATTTAAAAAAAAGAAATTGAATACATGATAACCGAGATTTAAAAAACCCACAGATGGGTTGGAAGATAAAGACCAAGAATCGCCCAGAAAGCAGAACACAAAAGGAATGTAATGAAAAGCAGGAGGAAAGAAATGAGAAACTCAGGGGTCCGTTTCAGGATGTGTGCCATTTGATTAAAAGTTTCAGAAAGAGGGGATAAAAACCAAAGGGAAAGGAATCAAATAGGTGATGTTAAGAACATTGTCCAGGAAATGAAGGATGTGAGTTTCCAGATGAAAGGACCACCGGATGTCAGCAAAAAGGATGAAGGCAGTTCTCGTGGGGACACATCCCGAGGGCGTTTCAAAACACGGGGGACAGAGAGAGGCTTCTGTAGCTTACAAAGAGTAAAAATGCTCAGGAAACAGAATAATACGGCACATTCTATACCCAGCTGCCCAAATAGAAGGCCTCCAAAATTCTGGGGGGAAATGATTTTTCAACCTAATTTCTATGCCTGGGAAAACCACAAGTTAGGTGTGAACGTTGAAAAAGGTATTTTCAGATATGCAATGCAAAAATGGACTTTCTACGCACTCTTTGTTAGGTACTGGAACATGTGCCCCAACACAACTAGGGAGCAAACCAAGGGGAGGAGACAAGAAATAAAGGAATAGGATTTGCTGAGGAAAATGAAGGAAATTCTCAGCATGAGAGTGAGGGAACTAAGCAAGTCTAAAGAACCACCAGCCCAAATAAAGCAGGAGGGCAGAGGCTCTAAGAACACCGGTGGGTCTATTGGGTTGAATAGCATCCTCCCCAAATTCATAACTACCCAGAACTTTGTAGGATGACCTTATGTGGAAATAAGGTCTTCGTAGGTGTAATCAGTTAAGAAGAGGCCATACATGGGGTGCCTGGGTGGCTCAGTCGGTTAAGCGTCCGACTGTGGCTCAGGTCATGATCTTGTGGTCTGTGAGTTCAAGCCCCGGGTTGAGCTCTGTGCTGACAGCTCAGAGACTGGAGCCCGCTTCGGATTCGGTGTCCCCTGTCTGCTCTTCCCTTGTTCATGCTCTGTCTCACTCTGTCTCTCATAAATGAATAAATGTTTAAAAAAAAAATTTTTTTAAAAGAAGAGGCCACATGTATAAGGATGCCAGTTGTACTGGGCCCCTAATAATATGACTGGCATCCTTACAAGGAGGTCATGAGAGACACAGAGGGAAAGGACACATCGAGGGAAGAAGGCCACGTAAAGATGGAGGCAGAAATTGCAAATGATGCAGCCACCAGCCAAAAAACCACCAAGGACTACCAGCAACAACTGGAAGCCAGAAGAGAGGCACGGAGCATTTCAGAAGGAATCAGCCCTGCCAGAACCTTGATTTTGAACTTCCGGCCCCCAGAACTGCGAGAGAATAAATGTCTATTGTTTCAAGCCACCAAGTTTGTGGTAATTCGTTAGGCAACCCCTAGGAAACGAATCCAGCAGGAAGAAGCCAAACAAATAGGAACTAATAGATTTCCTGTTGGCATTGGTTGATTTGGAAAATAGCATTAGAGGGTTTTCAGGTTCTGGTGGAGAATTTAGGGGAATTAATGACAGCAACCCAAAACAAATAAATCAATTAGAAGTGACTCCATGAAGGGGAGCCTGGGTGGCTCAGTCGGTTAAAACGTCTGACTCTTGGTTTTGGCTTAGGTAATAATCTCGTGTTTAGTGAGTTCGAGTCCCATGTGGGGCCTGCACTGGCAATGCAAAGTCTGCTGGGGATTCTCTCCCTCTCTCTCTTTGTCCCTCCCCTGCTCATGCGCGCTCTCTCTCTCTCTCTCTCTCTCTCTGTCAAAAATAAATAAATAAACTTAAAAAAAAAAGGGGACTCCATGAAAAACAAAAGGTTAAACATTGGAAGTAAAATCATTGTACATCACTTGGCTCAAGAGTAAACAACACTTACACAGACATGATATATACATTGATTCGAACTTAACCAAAAACTAAAAAACTAATGGTAGGATGGAGAACTTTATATCCTTATCTTCCATCCTAAGGAGGCAACCGGTAACGCCTCAGATGGACAAATCAGGAAACAGCAGAATCTTGTTCAGAAACATGAGAGTGAACATTAGAAGGACCAGCTAAGGAATCTTGAGGGTGTTACCTCTGCAGAGCAGAAGTGGGGGCAGAAGACTGCTTTTTTTTTTCACCCTATTTAATTCCTTAAACCAAGTATGTGCATGACTTTAATAAAAATAACACTAAAAAAAAATTCCCTGCCTTCGGGTGCCTGGGTGGCTCAGTCTGTTGAGCCCCTGACTTCAGCTCAGACCATGATCTTGCCGATTGTGGGTGCGAGCCCCACGTCAGGCTCTGTGTTGTCAGCATGGAATCTGCTTCAGATCCTCTGTCTCCCTCTCTCTCTGTCCCTTCCCCGTTTGCACTCTCTCTCTCTCAAAAATAAATAAACATTTAAAACAAATTCCTGCCTCAATTTTGAATGCTTTGGGCAAAAACATGGGTTCTGAAAGGCTTCCTGTTCATTGCCTTCCATCTTCAACAGAGTTGGTGGAAAGCGGGAGAACCAATAATGCCTTGATTTAGGGTTCGTAGTGTGGTCCCCAGACTAGCAGTTTCAGAGTCATTCGGGGACTCGTTAGAAATCCAGAGTCTCTGGCTACACGCAAGGCCAACTGGCTCAGAGGCACAGAACGTGGGGTCCAGCCAGCTGGGTTTGACACACCCTCCATGTGACTCTTGATATTGGTTCCACTTGGAGAACCACCAGCTCAGTGAGTGGGAGCTTCGTTCGTCCCCATAAAAGCCAGAGGTATGGCCCTTTTCCAGGCACAGACTGACACCCCAGCCACCTTGCGAAAAGTAAAAGTGTCGGATAAGTCAAAAACTTCAATAGCATTCACTCCTTCTGATTCAGTGATCCTAATTCTAGGATTCCATATTATACATGGAAATAAGCTTTGCCCATAAAAGTATTCATCACTGTGTTACCTATGATGGTGGAAATCAGAAACAACCTAAATGCCCACATGATAGGTATTGGGTTAAATACACCCATAGACTAGTTAAAAATGTTTATCGGGAGAGGCGGAAGGATACAGAGCACACTTACATGTTAGTGGAAAGCAGCAGGATTCAAAATTCTCCATACGGCATGAGCACAACAATGTGGGGGGAAAAAAAACGGAGGAGGAAACATAGTCTGGAAGGAAACCCTTCCAAAGTGTTCAATAGATGGGACCGACGTTAAGTTTTTTTCTACTTAATTTTTTTTTTCTTTGCAAAGTCTTACAGTGAGCGCGTGTGTACTCATTTAAGCAACCTATCTCTGGGGAGACAAGTTGGCGGACAAATTGAGAAGGGGCCACTGCTTTCGCAAGAGAAAGGCTTCTCCCAGTTGGAGAACTTTAGACCTTCGTGAGCCCCTTCACGGTCTCCTTAGGGCTGTGCAGGCAGAGAGGCGGGGAGGGGAGGAACCCCTGATTTATGTGCTGTTCCACCCCCAGGGTCTGGCATATTGTAGATGCTCAGTAAATATTTGAGGAAGAAAGGGGGGCTTTCTAAAAACTTGTGATGGAGATGTGACAATGCAATTTTATCTCCCCACCAGACTGTGACTCCGTTGAATGATGGAACTTTCGTCTACGGCCATACCACACTGAACACGCCTGATCTTATCTGAATGATGGCACTTTTTTGGTTTGGGTTTTGTAATCTCTAGAAGCCCCTCTGAACACAAAGAAGTGGTCAAAGAAAGCTGAATAAATTATGATCCTGATATTATAGATGATGAAACTGCCCATGTTCATATGGCAAGGTCATGGCAGATCTGGGCGTCAAGGTCAGTGAACTAGGTTTTGAACTGGGTGCTTTTTGGGGGGCAGTCAACTGCATAAAGCAAGTCCCTGGTCCCCCAGCACTCTGGGACGACTGGCCTATGCAGAAATCCAAAGATCTGCAGAGTCCTCCCTACAGCTCCCGCTGGCCAAAGGTCATGTGCTAATTAGGCTGCCAAAGTCTACAGGAGGGCTCAGCAGTTCTAGCTCAGATGACTTCCCTGATGTGAGGAGATAGAGCCTCTGCCTGTAAGGATTTAGACAAGCAGAAAAGACAGCATTCCTGGCAGGGGCACTTCTTAATTAAAGGCACCAAGAAGAAAACAAATGAAATTAATGGCTGGTACACATGACTATCCTTGTAAGCATGTGAGGCACTCAGAAGAATCTGGCGATCTTTCCAGAACCCAGTGGGTAACTTACATATGTTTATCAAATGAACAGTTGATGGATGGTTGAGTGGATGGATGGATGGATGGATGGACAGACGGACAGACGGATGGACAGATGGAGAGATGTCCATCAATGGCAGAATAGGAGTTAAGGGGTTCTGGAAACAGACAGGCTTTGGTTTGAATCCTGGGTTTGCCCTTGTCTGCAGTGTGAGCTGAGGATATTACCTCATGTCCTTGAGCCAGGTTTCTTTGAGAAGCTTCTGGAAGTTGTGTCAATAAAATAATGCATGTAAAGTACCGCGCTCATAGTAAGTGCTCAAGAAATGGGAGTTATCATCTGCATTGGTCAGAAAGGGAAGGGGGAAGAGATTCGATGGAGGCTGAGTTGGCTTACTACTATGTCATCTCCTTCCTACAAAGGAATCCTGAATTTCCTTTGGGAAGCCATGTGGTTTGAGTAGCTTAAGCCAATCAGTGTATTCCTCAGGTCAGGGAACGTGTATGAGACAAAGCGGTCCAATCAGGGTGAACCTCAGAGTATTTGCTGTGAATGCTGGGACACGGCCTTTTGCCCTCCTTAGAGGTAACAAGGAAGCTGGTAGCCCAGAAGCTGGGAGCACCAGCCTAATGACAAAGGTGATGTTCCGGAAGGCAAAGTGGAAAGACACGAAGAAATGTTGTTGAGCTGCTGGATCCAGCCTCACCTGAAGTTGGTGACCCCTGGACTTTCAGACAGATAAGCCAATTAATTTCTTTTATGTTTAAAGCTGATCTAAGCCAGATTTTCTATAATCAAAAGTACCCTGATATAGAAAGGAAGCAAGAATGAAAATATATGAATAAATGTCTAAGGAAGATGAAACAAGGGTGGGGGGGTATCACATTGTAAGAGACTTTGGATGGCAGAAATTGGGGCTAAATTTTAGCTGTTAATTCCCACTTGACATACAAACAAACCAAAGCCAGGGGGTTAAACAAGAAGCAACTTGCCGAGGGGCGCCCGAAAGGCTCAGTTGGTTAAACAGCCGACTCTTGGTTTCGGCTCAGGTCATGATCTCATGGTTCATGG